AAGAGAACAAGAAACGTCCAGCTAGTGGATGACTGAAGACAACTGATGAGATGATGCTGCAAAACGACAGGCATGCGATGATCTACGCAGTCTTTATACAGAGACCATCTTGCCAAGCTCTAAGCCTCCAAAAACCACCACAGGCGACCCCTTCCATGAATCGATTCACGAAACTTTGCCAAGGGCCAAGACGGTCATTGCAGAGCGAGTCTGCCATCCGCCATCTCAAGTGAAATCCCGGGTGGTCCCCTCATACCTACTGGGGGAGGGCGCTAGGTTCTTGGCGGTCCCTACAGCATCCCTCCAAGGAATCGAAGCTGGGAGAGAGGACGCTGCTACGCCAATTCCGTTCAACAGACGGCCTGTTGATACCGAGATGAGGCACCACTTGGTCCTATTGCGCGGCTCTCGGCAGGCCGAAGAGGTGGTGGCCGGCACTGTAAAGCCGATTCTGGGGCGCATCGAGGGCAACCTTGAGACGAGCCGATGGAGATGACGATACAGAGAACTTGGGTTAGTGGAGGCGAGAACGTCAGGTTTAACCGCAGTGGGGACAGAAGGACGACGACCAGGATCTTCTGAGACAAGACTCGATCTCCACTTGGCAAATTCTCGGCGCTAACGTCGCCAAGCTAACCAAGCGGCTGCACGAGGAGACAAAGGAGCACGCGTGCACTTCCCGTTTTGATCTCCGCCAAGCCCTTGTGTGCCCCTGAGCCTCACCATACTGCCGACTCATCCACTTGAAGCCCCGAGCGAGAGCAAACCGGCGCTGATGTGTGACTTTGGCCTATTCGCGTTTTAATGACCAGGCTCGTTTCTCCGCCTGAGCAAGGGCGCCTCATGCTTTGAGGATGAAGCCTAGGGTTTCTTGCTATCTATCGGCCGCAATTAGTAGCTCGACGCCGCAGCTTTCATCCCTTTCCTCTGAAGGGCTGCCGTTCGCCTGGTGTTCAGCTGTTCGCTCGGGAACTTTCTTGGATGACGTATAGCCATCGTGGCTCTGTGATGAATGCCCTTGAGCACCTTTTGGACCGTCAGGGTGATTGATATCATCACGACGCCGAGCCTTCTCCCGGGTATTCGGTTCCAGCTGCCAGATCTAACCAGCAGAACCAAGTCGGTCCATGCCAAGGGCCAAGGGCCATCCTCTTCTTGGCCGCATACTGCTTGATCTTCGACGGGCATCTTCGAAAGGCGTCTTGGGTACACGTACTGAACCGGTTGGTGTGGCTGTGTGCAGGGCAGTGTAGGGAGTAGAGTTCATTCATGCGGTACCAGATGGAGCCTCGGTAACAGCTAGCTGCATTACGCAGTTTAGTAGTGTCTCGTGTGATTGACGTTATGGCAAGGCTGCGTTCATTGAGTATAAAATGTGTCGCTGTGCCACGTATCTTTGGGACCAACATGGGAACTGTGCCTGTGAAGACTGGAAATTATGGTCGAGGTAGGGCCGGGTGAGACGTGCGCCGCATGTGTTGACAGAGAGCTAGGTTCCCTCAACCGCATGGGCTATCTATAGCCTGTCGAACGCACAAGATACAACGTCAGCCAGGAGGAGGTGACCCGAAAAGTCCAATTGGCCATCAATGTATGATTTCGAGGAGAACAAATTGCTCGGGGAAATCGGGGTAACTTCCATGTCAGCCTTGTCTCAACGCACTCAAGCGCTGCTTCCCCGCAATCTGGAGATGTTAGCGCTGAAAGGCTGAAACCCTCTCTCGAGCAGATGCACAACTTCCATGTCGATTTCTGATATTTGATCTAGATAATTTCAATATGCGGCTTCAGCCTGCGAATCTAACAGTAGAAGCGACCCCCAAATTGAACAATATGGTTGCCTTCGGACTTTAGTTCATCGCAGACATTATGTCCCTGTCCCCCAACGGCCCCCACCTTTGCCCCGCCATTGAAAGGTCAATCTCTGCTGTGTCACGCCGAGCCTCCAAAGGGGGGGCCGTTTGGATGATCCAGCCTCGGCGTCCACAGCATCCTCAGCTTGTCTCTCAGCTCTCGGATTCTCATTCATCGGATAATCGCCAGCCTTTTTAAACTCCATTCTTATCCCCGTACAACGTCGTATAAAATCCGTCAAAATAGGGAGAAAAAAGAATCAAGCAGAGCGCTTTCGCGCCAAAGAAAACCAGCACGCCGGGTACGACGACTACGGCCATTACGACCATTTTGACCGTGGGGATTTTCGCCTGCAGTCCAACAGAGGATTCAAACCAAAGAAAAACAAGAAGCCTAAGAAACCAAAGCGCAAAATGGGCCAGGAGTACTCAGTCGTTAGCGATGACACCCCGACCGAGACATTGCGGGAGCGGAGTCTCTCCGCCGTCGCCGAGTATATCAAGTCCGGAAAGGCCCGTCGCATTGTCGTCTTGACAGGTGCCGGTCTCTCGACGGCCGCAGGAAGTTCGTTCCTTCACTTACCCTAAACAAAAGTTCCTTTCGTATTGACATGACCCAGTACCTGACTTCCGCTCTCCTGAGACGGGCCTTTACGCCAACCTTGCCAAGCTCAACCTTCCCCGCCCGGAGTCCGTCTTTGAGCTCGACTTCTTCAGGCAAAACCCCAAGCCCTTTTATGTGCTCGCAAAGGATCTGTATCCGGGAAACTTTCAGCCTACCATCTCTCACGTTTTCATCCGCCTTCTGGCCGATAAGGGGCTCCTTCATCAACTCTTTACTCAGAATATCGACTGCCTGGAGCGAGCCGCCGGCATCCCAGGCGAGGTTATCGTGGAGGCCCATGGCAGCTTTGCAGATCAACGATGCATCGAGTGTAAGACACGCTTTCCGGCCGACCTCATCCGAGACTATGTGAGCCGCGCCGAGGTACCTCGCTGCATCCGCGGAGAAGAGTGCAACGGCTTGGTCAAGCCCGATATTGTGTTCTTTGGGGAGGCGCTACCATCGTCGTTTTTTGACAGAAAGGATCTTGTATCTACCGCTGATTTGGTCCTCGTCATGGGAACCAGCTTACAGGTCCACCCCTTTGCGAGTCTCCCCAATCTTGCGCCTGAGACTGTACCCCGGGTTCTGTTTAATATGGAGCGTGTAGGCTCGCTCGGGAGTCAAGCAGATGATGTCCTCGAGTTGGGCGACTGCGATGCCGGAATCCGGAAGCTAGCTGACGAATTGGGGTGGCGTGACGATCTCGAGGCCAAATGGCGGGAAATTATCGGTGATAAGGAGGCCTCGAGACAAATGAGCGGAGCGAAGAAGCGCGTTGAGACATTGCTTGATGAAGTTGATCGTCTGGCGGAGGAAGTCGACGAGGCGCTGCATCTGCAAGACCGCGAAGAGTCGGAAGCAGCGCCTCGGCTCACAAATGGAAACCCAGGGGAGACTTCCGACAAAACCGAGGAGGGCGAAAGAAAATATGAGCAGAAAGAGGAAGAGACCCAGAGTAAGGCTGAGGTAGCACTCGACCCTGACGCTCTGCCGACTTCTCCAAAGAAGCCGTCGTTATGAGTGGGTTTCATTTCTCTCTAAGCTACATACGAATACCCGAGGGTGAGTTGTGGGGCATGGGGGGCATCATGTACTTATTTCCTGGTGGTGTTTTGGCGTTGGATGACCTATATTTGGACAACAGCCAGGGCGGTATATCCAGACGTTGGAATTGGTGGTCAGGTAGAGTCACCTGGTTTCTCTCTTGTTAACAATGACATTGTTGTTCCTTACCCTGATTTACTTGTGCGAAACTGTGTCAAAAAGTCCGGCTCTTTCTGGTTGAACTTTGAAGGGACAAAGAAGCTGGGTTACAACAGCCAGGTTGAAACCACTTTGGCGCATTGTTCAACATCGAAACAACGACATTGTACTGGATCTCTGAAGCATATATACCCTCAACCAAACCCACACTCGACAGAATACCTGTATTCCATTCATCTCATCACCATCATCACAATGGCCTCCCCTTCCCACATTTCTCAACGCGCCGAAAAGCAGGCCTTTTCCGCTCCACAGATCAGGATGAACATGTTCCGCATGTGGGAAGTACCATCAGGCAAAGCTGCCAACTGCAGCCCATTAAGCAGCAGCGGCAGCAGCGCCTGTTCCAGGGAGACCATTATCCACTGCTACTACTGCTACTACTGCTCAGAGGAAGAGGAGGAGAAGGCCAATACCACCACCGCCATCTCATTCGAGACAAAGGCGATAAGCCCTCCTAACCGCAGCTCTCTACTAACCCAGGGTCTCAAGCCAGGCACATCGTCCGAGGCCCAACCCCTTAGCTTGTCCCAACACCTCGAGGCCGCCCGGCCTCCAACACCTCCCCGGGCACCGGCACGCCACTTTGTTCGCAGCTCTCAGGCCGCGGCGCAACAACCTACAAAAAAGGTAAGATTCGTCACCCCTGAGCCTGAGCACTGCTACTCCAAAAAGTCACCTCTCCCGACTCGCAAGCGCGGGTTCACGCCAAGTGATGATAGTACTTGGGAATGTTGCGAGTGCACGACTGTGAATTCACGGTTCGAGTTTCACTGCTCGCTCTGTAAGCTTCATAAGAAATGTAGTTCTTGTCGTGTGGCGGTCGAGTCTGAGGAGAGTTGAGTAGCGAGTGTGTAAGAGCAAGAGGTGAGTAAGGCGAGTAGAAGATGGTGAATAAAAAATGCAACACAACAATTACCACAAACATTTTCTGAACATGACCCTAGTCAAGCGTGAAACGTGCTAGATATAAAGTGACAAAAAAATGGAATCTCCAAGGAACCAGACTGGGTGGGTTCTCTGGCACATTTGCAAACAGGTTCGGGGATGACAAAAGCTTTCAACCACCCACCTTGAATCCAGGCAGGCACCGAACTCCTGAAAAAAGAGAGGCCAACATGACCACCGTCGCTACCACTTATTCCTGGGCGAGAAAAAATATATCTCCAGCTCGGCGTGACTCAGGAAACCCAGGTGGGCACACTCATCCGGTGACTCTGCAAGACCACCTTCGATCCAATGCAACCAAGTGTGGTTTGAGTCGCCGGCAAAAAGGATTCCCATGCCGGGGTTCGAACCCGGGTCGTGGGAAATCACCGAATGATGAAAATCCCAAATGCTAAACCTCTACACTACATGGGAGTGCTGTTTGTTGAGGGAGGCAGCTGAAAACGTGGCTTATGTATCCGTTTGCCGGCTGCCTCGGCACACCCGCAAACCCTAGATAAGTCGGCACGTAGCCGGAATTATACTCATCTGCTCCATTGCCCACATTTGCTTTCTTTCGTTCAAGTCTATTCCCAATAAAGTGTGGCGGTGGATGGGGCATTGGGATTTGAGAAGGTTGAAACGCACCTTCCGTTTCTTCGGTTCACCGAACTAAGGCCCCTGTAGCGTGATGGGCATATCAAGATACTGTAACCTTTAAGTCCCTGGCACGGGTATTTAAATATGTCAACTGCCCTTGTGCATACTTTCCATTCGTATGCGTTATTGTCAGTTGCTAACTTTATACGCATCTTATCATGGCATCTTTAAAAGCACGGAGGTAGAAACAGAAACAGAGTAGAAGCAAGATTGAACGGGAATCCCATTTAGCCCAGCCCGCCAGGTATTGCGCATATGTCACTCCGTCATACCTAAGCCATTCTGCAACGACCCTTCCGCCTCTCTTCCATGGCCCGACTCCTCCAACATGCAGAAACAATCACACTCTTGCACCGCCATCTCGAACGTATGCCAACCACACAACCAATGCTCAGTCACGTCACACATGCCCTCGATGCTGGCACCTTCTTTCTCATTCAGAATCTTCATCCTAGTACCCACAACAAACAGTCCCAGACTATCCCCTTCTCGGCATGAATGTAGTCAAAATATCATGAAGTCACCCAAAAGCATCGCTAAGCGCCCCAACTGCCTACCAGCCTGCTCCAACTCCCCGACGCAGAACGGAGGAAACTAAACAAAACCGGAAACTGCAAGGGTCCATGGTACATGTGAGTTTGAGCGAGAGACAGGGCTGTGGACAACAGGATTTGCTCCACCCCAGAAGAAATGTGTTATAGTCCTTACAAAAGAAAAAACAAGGTGTGTGCGGCACCGGATCTGGTGGTGTCGATAACAAAGTTATTATTCTCATCAGGGTCGTTCGCCATCCCAATTCCATCATTCCATCATAGTTATGTCATAGGCCAGACCACCTGGTCTCCTTTCAGTGGTCGAGCTTCGCCTGGGGCTGCCAGCCGTTGAGATAAGCCATCAAACCCATGCCAATGAGGACTACCCCGATCATAGAGGCGTAAGGCAGGGTTTGCATGATGGCTGGATCCTGCGACGACGTCGCCAACGCGCTTGTAGTCGGCGTGATAGTATTTGCCCGAGAGAGGGTCGGCACGGAAGCTGCCTCCGCAGCAGCACCATCATGCTGGGGGATTGGCTTCGTTGCTGTGCCATTTTGTGCTGGGGGAGCCTCTCCCTTCTCGTCGAGGCCAGCAGCCCGGGACCTTGCTCTGGATAACGAACGCGACTTGCGTTCTGCTGCTCGCTTTGCCTCCTCTTCGTCGCGCTGACGAATCTGCTCCACCATCTCGGCAAGGGTCTTTCGATCAGCATCGCGGTCAGCTTCTGCCTTCTCCGCTCGTAACCTGAAGGCTTCCAACTGTTCCCGAAGACCAGACATTTCCAATGTCATCGAGTCTATGCGAGCTTGGAAGGCGGCGGCCAATGCTTCGACCTTGTCGGGTTGCGGCGAACTTGCTTCGACAGGTTCTGCAGGTGCGACCGTCTCCGGTGTCGACGGCCTTTCAGCCGGCAAGTCGAAAGCCTTTTCCAACTCCGAGTGGCCATTAACCATGGGATGCCCGGCTGAGCCATTCAGGGTGGTAGCATGGCTATTTTCTTCCATCTTTTGCACCATATCCTCGGCAAGCTGGCGCGCTTCCCGCTCCTTAGTCAACTTTTCCTCAAGGTCCCTAACACGAGCGGTGTGGTTGTCTAGCTCCTTCTTCGCGTTGTTAAGGGCCTCGGTCAACTGCATAATCTGGTTTAAACTGCTGTCGGGACGGGTAGGTGATGTGTTGGGGGGGTGCGACTTTGGTCGCTCTGTCGTTCCCCGCTTGAGGGATGGGACTTCGGATGCTGGCCTGGAGATGTCTGGCTTTTCTGGCAGCGGTTGCGACGGTGGCGGGGCGGGGGGTTCGGAAAACCTGGTCTTCCCACCGTCTGAGCGGAAAGATAGGTTTCCGTTTGTGAGCGGTTGGGTTTTCGGGGGCTCAGCAGCTTGAGGTTCTGGCTTGTCCTGGTTCCTAACATCGTCCTTCGACAGGAGAGCGCTGATAAACTGGCTAGTGCGCGCAAGATCTTGATTTTGGAGGCGGGCATTGCGCATCTCGGCCTAGATAAGACGCATCGTTAGTGTCGAGTATGGAGTTCTGGGGGGGAATACTTGCATGAAGCTTCTTCACGATATGTTCCGTAGTTATCGGATTCAACCAGAACTGCCGTTGCTGCGCCATGCCATTCAACGGCCCTCCCATATTAGCAGGCGGCGCGCGGCCGTTTGCGCCCATAGAGGCCTGGCTAGAAGATCGCCCTCTTGGAGGCTGCCCGGGACCCTGCATCAAATTCCCATTTGAAGGATCGATCTCCCCAAAGTTCATGTCCAAGGGGTTATTGGAGGGACTGACAAATCCCGCGTGCTCGACCTTAGCAGCCACCTTGTGATGAACAACTGTCTTTTGGTCTTCGCTCACAATATCGATGCCGAGTTCAAGCTGGTCCTGAGGTTGTAGTTCGTGCGGCTCAGACTCCCTGTTCTCAGGAGATAGACGTGTCCCGTTCACGAAAGTTCCGTTGGAGGATTTAACATCCCGAATCCAGATCTTGCCGCTTGCGTCGGCCCATACTTCAGCGTGCTGCCTCGAAAGCACTTTGCTATCGAAGAATCCGTTGACCGGGGTCGGCACAGTTTTGGCGTTGGTCTGGCGGCCGATCCGGAGGGTATCTGGGTAGAAGGGCACCGAAATCGTCTTCCGTTCGAAGCTGCCATTGAGGGAGAGTAAGGAGAGAACTGGTTGTCGCCCCGGCCCGATTCCGTCTGCACTAGGCCTGGAGGCGCCATTTTGGGCCATGATGTGCGTTTGCTGACTGAGAACCGACTGTGACGGTCCGTTCGTGCCGTTAACCGCAGGCGGACGCGCTGGAGTAGACCTCTGGAACTCGGAGGCACCCTCCGCTTTCCCGTTCGGCCAGGGTTTTGATTGCGGAGGCCGTTTCCGCGTAGTGTTTTGCCAACTGTGCGCGCTTAGATCGCCGTTGGGCGGCATGGGATTTCCATTTGTCTGACTATTCGATATTACCGTAGCCGTTGATGAGTTGGACGAGGTCGACGAGATTGATGAAGAAGAGTTGGTCCTTTGCATAGTCTTGCGGGTTCCAAACATTTTGATGTCGTCTGCGCTAATCGAATTTCCACTCTGGCCGCCGTTACCCCATCCCGGCCGGTTGAGATTCGCGAAACTGTGAGAGGCGGCGACAGCCGTCATGAGGAAGGCGCGATGAAAACGAAAGGGACAGGTCGGCCACGCGGAAGAGGGATGCTGGAGGGACTGGCTCGATCGAGTCGGCGGGCTCCTGGCGCGATTGGCATGCGTGAATCAATCGGCAAAATACTTGTCGGTCACGCTACAATTGATGTAACCACAAAAGCCTCGATCTCGGGACGGATAGACGTCGCGACGGGCTGCGAGGAAGTCGAAGGTCAGCTCTGACGTCGCGGCACGTCGCAGGTCGGTCGGAGGTTGCGGCGACGAGGAGCGATTATGCCCGGGCGCAAGCGGGCAAAGAGTGACTCAAAGGAAAAAATCCGACGGATCTCGAAGCATACCTAGCAATGATGGTGAATTCTGGACGAAATGGTGGGTGGCAAAAGGGCTTGCAATGCGACAAGCAACTGAAGGAGTGAGGTTGGCAAGATTTTGAGGCGAAGGTCTCCTGGCTGTCGAGGCGCTTAGCGAGGGGATGGGGCCTCAAGGCGATCAACGCGCACGCGCCAGGCAGGACTTGCCCTTGTGCCTTCTGCGTCTTTGCGCTTTCTATTTGCGGGACCGGCCGCCTGTCTCCTGGGGAGTCGACCACACTCTCTTTTAGACCCGTCTTTACAGAAACCACTCACATCTGCCATCCCGACATCTGGCACGCTACTGAACAATAATGTTGTGCCTGATCCACCTCGATCGAACCTCCTGAGCCCGCTGGGGCTGTTGCCGGCTACGTCACGTGAGTGGATTTCCTCCACCGCACCCTTCTTCTGTCTCGTGTCACTTTTGGAAGCGAGTGATGGGACCCGGCTGGCCCAAGCGCCCGGGCCCCTCATCCACCCACACCCAACCTGTCCCGCGGTCCACTCAAGAGACTTCAAGCCTCAGTCTTTGCCAATGGGGGCGGGGGGCCAAGAATACTACAAAATACTTGGATTCAAAGCAGAAACAAGCTCTATTGTGTATGCCAAATGAAACCGGATTCCTATACACCTTGTAGACTCATGGGAGGCGCCACGGCCATGACCGTATGTCGGCAACATCTGTAGTGAGAGAACTTTGGGGCATCGCGCTTTCCTTCGGCAAGGCCCGGGCGATGCCGATTGAATGCACCACTGGCCCGTGCACGCGGGCCCGGTTTAGGTTCGGCCTTGCATCACAGCCCTTGTAGCTTTTTCGGTGGCTCGCAAACAAACGACATTGCTTGAACAGACGATAATCCGCAAACGCGCGCGCAAATATACTGCTATTCAAAATGCCTCCTCCGCCTAGCCACGGGGGTGCCGGTTCCACTATCGACAAGCGTATGACGAGCCCCCGAACACCGAACGGGCAGAGAGCCCATGGTTCCTGTTCCTGGCTAACATCTGGTTCGCAGTCAAGATGGGCGCGTTGATGGGCGGCAGTACGTCTTGATGCACACTCGATGTATGTTCGGAATGCTGATACGCACGGCTACAGCTGTTGGTGTGACCATTGGCTTCATCTTTGGTACGCTTGCCGCTCTCCACGACCACCACTTCCCTAACATGACGCAGGAACTGTCAACATTTTCCGGTATGGAGCTGGACCGAATGGAATCATGAGAACACTTGGCCAGTA